AATTAGTTTAATTGAGGCTTTAATAATCTCTTCATTGTCCTCTATAGTTTCAAACATTGTTTTTAAAGATAAAAGTGTAGGATTGTATTCTATGTTTAGTACAAATAAGTTTAATTAAAGCAAACATAATTAAATGATTTCATATATAAGCAGTTGGTGTATCTCTTAATCCGTATGCAAAATAGGGGCAAATTTGCCCTGAATTTTTTAATATCATTTTTACATCATTTAAGTATAATTAATATATTATAAATCGATTCCAAAATCAGTAAAAAACATTAAAAAATATATATTTAATAAATTTATTCATTGTTTACTATGAAAATCTTTAAAACAATTAGGTCTTACTATAGAGCAACAAAGAGGTACATTACATTTAATGCACCAAAATTGAGTTTGGGAAATTGCACAATTTTTTTTTTTTTTTTACCTTGGTCATTTTTTTTTTTAAATAACGACAATATAGACATGATTCTCTTTTTCTATGCCATTCTACCAGATGATTCCCTGGAGAAAGTTGATTTATGGGTAGGTTAAAATTTTTAGTAACATGTGCAATTCTTTTATTTTTTAGTGGTGATTTTAATGAAGCTTTTTTTTGGTTTAATTAACCCCGAGTTATTCTATTGCTACTACTTTTATAATCTATAGCTTCTTGAATTAAATCCTATACAAGAGCAATTCAGAAGTCTTTGCTTGCAATCTTTGTATTTGTAACTTTGCGATAAAGAATAATACTATTAACAAGAACAGTGTCTAATAACCAAAAAAATAAAGGAAACCAAGTACGACGTGCTGTTAATTGGCAATTATAGTAACCTCTAAGCTGATCTGCAAGATCAACACCTCCCATATAATTATTATAATCATTAATTACTTGTGGAATAGGCAATGCTTTTCGTAACATATTGCCAAATACCTGACGAACCTTATTTGCATTAGTACTTGTTTTACAAGGGCATCGTTGATTTCGAATAACTTTCCATTCATCACCCATAATTCTATGAATAGTTGTAAGCATTGTTACAGGCCCATTATCAATCCATAATACTGCTAAAATATTATCTGTAACTACTCCACTTAGTGTATTCCAATCTAATAAATGAGTATTATTAATTTTTAACTCTCTAGGAAATTTTGATGAATTAGTTCGAACAGTTCCACATGCACCTAGATTATTTTCATGTAAATATTTAAAAAGAGAAATACTTGAAAAATAGTTATCCATATAAATATGAAATGTTTTTTCCTAAGAAAGCTGGTTTGCTAAATGACATACTATGCATCCAGCTTTATTAATATTAGTGATTAACTTTAACTCCTTATTATCTTCAACTCGAGAACTAAACATAAATGTATATGTATATCCAGCATCACATAGAGAATATATTTTGTAGCCTTCAGGTATTGGCTTGTTTTTCATTTTTACAGTATGTATACTTCGACCAGAAAAACGAACTATCATTTCATCTACAGAAACTTGTGAACTAGGTACATATAACTTTTTAAATGTATCTCGAAAATGTGATGCTAGTGGCTCTACTTTAGAGTACCAAGTTAAATTAAAACTATTTGGATTAGAAATATAAAGATATCATTTTATTTGTTCAAATCTATATATTAACATAAATTGTTTAATACTATGAATAGCTTTTTGTTTATCTGAATTCTACAAATCATTTATATGATAAATTTTGTGAACACCCATATAAATAACTATTGCAATCCAAATTTTTAACTCTTTTAAAGTCAACAAATGCCAAATACGACCACCTTTTTTTAATCTATTAACTCGATTTAATTTTTTATAATTATTAGTATTATTAACAATTAATTGATAATAATAATTAGTAAAAAATAGATGAAACAATATAAGTGGACTAATAGTGCTTTGCTGCATTTCATATGGCAATGTAGCATAACTTCTATGAAGTTCATTAACATTTTCTATTTGATCAAATTCTGGTAATTCTGGAAGTGTTGGTATTTTATTTAACTTACTATTCTTTCCTTTATTTTTTTTTTACTCATTTTTTTTTACCCTTCCCACCTGCCCTACGTTTTTCATTTCATATGTAAGTAGTTTTTGCACTTTCTTCACATTCAGAATCCATGGCATAATCTGCCATAACTAAATCTTCAGAATCTGTAACATAATCTGTGATATAATCTTGTTCTTCGGTCATAAATAAATCTTCATAATCTATTGTGTAATTAATTCTTGTCTCTTTATAATTATTATGATCAAAGGTAAAATATTGCAAATCAGAAGAAGAATCATCAGCGGTATCATCATACTCATCATTAGAAGTGTCATTATTAGTACTACTATCACTATCGGCCATAGTATAAGCTGGTTTTTTTTTTAAAAAAAAAAAAAAATGTAAAAATTAAAAGCATCAATCTTTTACATTAAAGAACATTTTAGAAGTTTATTGAACCTTATTATTTTTTATTTGCAGCAAAGATACATAAATATTAGTGTAGCGGTTATATTTGTGTACATTGTCCTACAAACATGGGGGGTACATTTTGTAAATTTTAATGGTAGCGTGAGATATCTGCTGGGAATCTGAAAATAGGGGCAAATTTGCCCCAAATACGGATTAAGGGATAATTACATGTAAAATTTACTATTTCACAAAATTTACAATATTTGCTAAGTAGTAGCAATTTTTTAGAAAAATCATAATTTCAAATACATTGTTAATAATAATTGACTAGATAATATTTATTAATTAGATACAATATCAGTTTAATGGTTAAGATTTGATTTAATAGTACTGTAAATAGCTATATAAAAGACCTAGATCTGTTACATTCTACTGATTTTAAATCTATAGTAGACCCAGGTCTAGTAAATGGCTGAGAGTTGTATTATCAAAAATAAAACTTTAAAATACATACATACTTTGCATTTGTAATATGCAATCTAGATGTTTGGATTTTAATTAAGAAGATCCTAAGATCTGCACAGATGATTTCTACTATAAATTGCATTTATGCTATTTTTATAAATAAGTATATAAAAAATTGTCAATAACTGAATTAATAAATTTTGCTTGTTTTGACTTGGTAGCTTAAGTACTTATCAATTTGATTTTTAAAAAATTTTTAGCCATCCTAAAATTTATGGAAACTGGAAATTATAAGCTGGGTAATGTGCAAGATTTTTATAGAAATCATTTAAAGCCTACCAAAAGTGCTTTGATATATCTAGATGGTTAGCCTGTATTAATATATTAAGTTAATAGCCTTCAAAACTTTAATTTGCTAAGAATTAGCTTTTTTAATTTTTTTGAAAAAAAAATTTATTTTTTTGGGCCTTATGCTAATAATTGCTTACTCAATTGCAACAGACCACAATTTACAACCAACCCTCCTTCCTTCACTTCCAAAAAATCTGACCATTTTCATAATATATCAATATCACATACTAATATTGATGGCTGGCCTGCATTATGCAGGCTTGTTAGTGCTAAGCTGCACAGACTCAACTGCTATATAACTGCAAATATCAATATCACATATTTATACTGATGGCCAGTGCTAAACCACATAAGCAACTATTTATAGTTATCTCTTAGTGCAATATTATTACAAATTCTGGAAACATATTTTGTTTCAGTTTCAATAGCACACTAATTACAGTTAAATGAACATACTATTTTCAGAATTATAACTAATGAATACATATCAATGTTACATTACATGTTTATATTACAGCTATTTTTATAAATTTTGGAACATCTAGTAAAAAATTAACTAAATGATTGTTTGGCCGATTCAATAAGTTTTTGATTTTGGCTATGAACGATTGCATAATAATATGCATATCTTTCTAATAACAAAAAATGTATATTGATATTACTACTTTATTTTTGCACTTGCGAAGTTGGATATTATATTAGATTCAGTTGCTATTACTTCAGACAAAGTTGGATTTGTATTCAGATTCAATAGTAGTTACTTCAGACAAGCTAGAAATTTTAAAATGTTTACTATAACTGAACAAGCTAAAGGCTCCTTAGATCAACTGTTTCAATATCTGATTTGTTTTTTGGTTTATATAATTTATATTAAATAAATAAATAAAATACTTTTATAGATTTTATTATAATTCTATTGGTTATAATTTTCAAAGCAGTTTTGACAAATATTAAAAACTTAACCATTTGGAATTATAATTTGAATTATATTTACTTTAGTACAATCAATAAATTCTTGTTCATATCAAAACTTTTTTATTAGTAATATATTTATTATGAAAGCTTATCTAATATTCAGAACCTTTTTTATGTTTTTTGTCAAGATTTGTTGGCTGGCAAGAACGGACATGCATTCAAGAGAAATCTTAATTTTGGATGTGTTGACATTTCAGAATAATTCACAAAAAAAATATATCATTATCACAATCAAAATCAATGCCGAATCAAAAACCTATTGAATAAGCCAAATAATCATTTGAGGTCTGTTCCTTGAAAATCAAGTTTTGATCATATGATTTACTATGTCCCGTAAGGTCATTTTCAAGGAACAGACCCC